CCAATCCCTGTGAGTCAATTTTTGTATGTTAGACTCTGAAATGCTTTTGAGTTTGAGGTACACAAGGAAAGGTTCTGAGGACCAGGTGAAAGGGTAGGTCCAGATTGAGTAGAGGTGGGTTTCTGCAGTGTTTGGAACAGATAAGGTAGTGGAACAGAGCCATGAAGACCGACCTATGTGCAGTGGTCCTGAGTATGTAGGAGAGTAGGAAGTAGGTGGGCATGTCCAGAAACAGCCACGCTGGCTACAATCTGGGACAGTTGCCAGACTGACAGAAATGCCATCAGTCTGGTGGATTCATTAACTAGTCAAGCTTCCTGTGTGTGAGAGGTGGACCTGGGGAGAAAAGCCATAAGGTTTGGCCCTGAGGTAGGTGGGGCTATCCTGTGGTCAAAGGTACCACTGTTCTGCAAGCCAAGGCATGGATTTAAAGGTGTTTTATTGTGAAAGAGTAGCAGTTCTAAAGCCTGGCAATGATCGTATACACCTTTAATTCCAGCACTTGGGAGGCAGACAGGTGGATCTCTGAGTTTGAGGTCAGCCTGCTCTTTATAACAAGTTCCAGGACAGTCAGAGAAATCCTGTCTTGAAAAAAAGAAAGAGTAACAGTTATAGAGGAGCTAAGAGTATATGGGTTGAAAGAACTGGCGGGTGAGGTAAGAACAGGTAAAATATAAAAAAATATAGACCCTGGTATTCTGGAGTCCTTGGCTTCTGTAGAAAAAAATCTACAAAACAAACAGCTTTCTTCACATTTACTCCTCAAAATTAAAAAAAAAAAAAAAATCCTGTCGGAAGGAGATAACTTTTGTATGTGTCACTTTTCCTTTCAGTTCCAGGGGATCTGGCACTCTCTTCTGACTTATTTGGGCCCTAGGCATACACATACATACATGCAGAATACTTATATACATAAAATCAGAAAAAAATTATCATTGACCTCTCACCTTTTATAGGTAGATTTGTACAGATTATGTTCTCTGGACATAGTTTGCAACACACACACACACAGTGTGTGGTTTGTTTTTGAGTTTTGAGATGGGTCTCAAGGTGTTTCCCTGTCTTTGTAGACTAGGCCTCAGAAATCTGCACCACACACCTGGCTGGTTTTTGTGTTTTGTTGTGTCTTTGTTTTAATATTTATTTTTGATTTTCAAGACAGGGTTTCCCTGTAGCCCTGGCTATCCTGGAACTCACTCTGTAGACCAGACTGGCCTAGAACTCATATTCACCTGCTTATGAGGTTAAAGACATGCTCCTCCACACACCACCACTGCCTTGCTTGTTTTGTTTGTTTTGTTTTTAAAGACAGTGTTTCACTGTGTAGCCAAAGTTAGCCTGGAACTCACTATCTTCCTGCCTCAGTCTCCCCAGTCCTAGTAATACAAATGTCACCACACCTGGCTACAAAGTCTGTGGATTGTTTCCTTGGATCTTTTCTGTTCTGCCATTACCCTCTGCTCTGTACTGTGATGGCTGGTGGTGCTGGCTCTCAGCTGTGTAAGGAATGTAACACTGCCATGTAAAGATCTTCTGTAAAGAGGAACCCAAGGCTTCTGCTTTGTTCTGCTTTTCGAAGCTGCTGGGTTCTTCAGTGTTCAGTGCTGTGCAAAAATACATATATTATGTAAAGTGAGCTCTTGGGGCTACCAGATCACTCATGCCTAGCATGCCCCTAGAGTAGCTCTGGGTTCAGTTCCCAGCATTGCACATAATAAAATGAACTGGAAGCTAACTGTTAACTTTTGGTTTTTAGATTAATTTTTATTTCACATGTATGAGTGTTCTGCTTGCACATGCAGTGGGTGTCTGGTGCCCAAGGAGTCCAGAAGACAACTTTGTAACTGGAGTTAAGGATAACTGTTTGCCTTCTTTGGGATGCTGGGAGCTTAAGTCTTCTGTAAGAGCAGCAAGTGATCTTATAACCATTGAGCCATTTTCCCAGTTGATTTTATTTAGGATTTATCAGTTTCTCAAAAAGCAAAATAAAAAGAGAAATGCCCGGTGATTTAAGCTTTTCTTACATATAAGCACATCGTCCTTGCATGTCTAGCCCCTCCCCCCAGTGACCAGTGTATATTCATGTTCTGTCCCTGTAGACTCAACTAGCTTAGGACCGGAAATGCTCTGGAGCCAGGCTGGGCACAAGCTTGTCATGTTAACATTTGGGAGGCTGCAGCAGAAGGATCTTGAGTTCAAGGATTGCTAGGCAACATTGACAGATTGTGTATGCATACATACAGGCATGCGTACAGGAGGAGGGGAGTGTGCATCTGCACTGACAAGTACAGGGTTTTGTATCCTCGTTCCCTAGACAATACAGCATAACATTTATGTAGCATTTGCTTTGTATCTGGTGTAAGTCATCCAGGGACTTACGTGTGTAGGTTCTAGGGAAATAATTTATATAAAGGCCTTGAGCATCTATGAATGTTGGCATCCTTGAGGAGGGAGGGCTGTGCCAGGTATCTTGTGGCAATCTGCATTCTGTCTCTTTAGGAGTTTTGTCATAATGATCCACCCATACTCTTGTTTAGTTAGACTTCTGTGATGAGCATGTGCCACAGGTGTAGCTGACCAAGTGCAGGTGTACAGCAGCACTACCCTTGTACATAACCTGTCAGCAGGGAGCAGCAGGGACTCTCCACAGGGAGTATGAACAAACCCTGTCTGGCTCTCAGCTAGGGTGTAGGTCAGGGAGCAGGGGACAAGAGGAAGCAGGCCAAGCCAGCTTGGTTTACCTTATCTCCCTGCTGCCATATCCCTCCTCTTGAACCCTGATTGGTCTCAGGGTCCACACACCTCCTGAGACAGTCTATTGTTGCCCACCTGGAGGGCCCAGGCCCCTTGTTCTGGGTCTCATACTGTTTGAGACACGATCTTGCTGTGGTGGGCATTGTGTGCTGGTGAAAAGCTGCCATCCTTCTGCTTCCTAAGCCATCTTAGAACTGGGTAACCGGCATGGGCTGACTTGGCAAGTGGTCTTGCCTATCAAGTTTCCAATGTCTGCTGAATATCTTCAGGGTTTTGAAAGTTTGGATTGGGGGTTTTAGTGCAGAATTGTAAGTGGTGCCATCCAAAGGATTTTATTTAGTTTTTTGTATTATACTTTATTGTATGTGCTGCCATGGCGTCTGTGTGGATGTTATCAGAGGACAACTTGGAGTGGGGTTCTCTTTTTTGCCATGTGGATCCTGGGGATCAGACTCAGGTTAGTCAGTCTTGGTGGCCAGCACCTTTACCTGTTGAGCTGTCTTGTCAGCCTTGCTAGTTCTCCACCCCCCTTTTTAATTGGTCTGTGTAGTACACACGTGTGTGGTAGGAGGTGTCCAGTGTCCTATTAGGCTAAAAGCCAGCAAGCTGTAGGGTCTTCCCATTTCCACCCCTCAACCCCCACCTTGGAGCCAGGGTTACAGACATTTGCCAGGATACCAGCTTGTTGTGTGGGTGCTGGTGATTGGGAACAAGATCTTAACTGGTGACTGTAAACAGTAAGGATTAAGGGCGTTGGTGGCGCACACCTTTAATCCCAGCACTCGGGAGGCAAAGGCAGGTGAATCTCTATGAGTTCGAGACCAACCTCCAGAGTCACAGAGAAACCCCGTCTTGAGAAAGAAAGAAAAAAAAAAAGATGTTCACATTACAGATGTTTTTCACCAAGGAGGGGTGAAAATTGGAGATGACAGCAAGAAAAGGACAGTGAGCATATAGTTAGTTGTCCCATAGATGGCCACTCTAGCACAGCTACCAGACTGCAGGGTGGTTCTCTGAGCCTGCAGCCACCACACGAGCTTGGTTCTTGGTGTGAGTTCTCCATGCTTCTTCCTTGTTGTTTGCCTGGGCCTTCACTTTGGCCTGTGATGTAAGCGCCCCATTCTGCAGCTTGCACGAGCTCACACACTTTAAACTGGATTCAGTCCTGTCTGGTTCTGTGTCTGAGGGTAGAAACCTCCCTCAACTCAGGGCAGAGTTGAGAAATCAGAGTAGACTTCTTTTTTTTTTTTTGGGGGGGGGGGTTCCCGAGATAGGGTTTCGTTGTAGCTTTGGAGCCTATCCTGGAACTAACTCTTGTAGACCAGGCTGGCCTCAAAATCAGAGATCCGCCTGCCTCTGCCTCTGCCTCAGGAGTACTGGGATTAAAGGCGTGTGCCACCAACGCCCGGCTCAGAGTAGACTTGTTGTCAAGAGTCAGAAAGGTCAGAAGGATCTCACCAAGGAGAGATCCCTAGGAGTTGGTTTGTAACCTTGGGAAATACTGAAAGCAAGCCTACTTAACTAAGGCCGGGCTTCTGGACATAGCTCTAGAGTTCTCCACAGTGTGAGTGAAGGCCACATCTTTGTTTTTCGAAGAGGCTGAAATTAGAACCAGGAGACTCTGGCTTCCAAGCGATGTGTCTACGTGCATACGTAAATTAGAAGCTGGCTGTGTGAGCAAAACTGAGCGCTCAACCCTGGTGTTAACTGCTCTCAGGGTAAGAGGCTAGTGTTCATGGTGCTGCAAGGGAGTAGCGCGACCGATCTCCGGTTTCCTGAAGTGTCTGGGGGACAGTGAAAGAATGTCACTCTGGTTAGCACGGGGGAAATTCTTAATGGGGGGGGTTGTTCCCGACCCTCGTATTCACGTATACCCAGGCAGAGATCCTGGCTCCTAGTCGGTATTTAGGAGGATCGGGGACCGGGCAAGGGAGTGAAGCAGGGTCAAGTCCCAGGGAATTCCAGCTGGGCGGGCGCCCCTGCCTGCCCCGGGGGCCAAGGGAGCAGAGCGACCTGCGCTAGAGCTTTGGGGTCTTTTCTTCCTGGCTCCTCCCCAAAGGAATCGGACGCAGGTTCACCTCGAAGCGCCCATGTCCGCTGGCGCAGGGGTCTCTAAATGCTGGGCAAAGGACTGCCCAGGGTAGCCCCTTGCTTCGAGGCGCGGAAATCTGTCAAGCGTGTCTAGGACAGACCTGGCGGGCGCTCCGGGAAACCCAGGTGGCCGCGCTGGCGCATGCGTGCGGCCAGGACGGCAGAGCCGCTCTAGCCTCGCCGCGTCTCGGTGGCCGCTTGATTTCTTCCGCTTGCTGTGCGGCCCGCCGCTCTAGGCCGGCGGTCTCGCTGGCCTCCGCGCTAGTTCCGTGGCGGCTCTGGAGATGGCCGCGGGGCCCCGGCGGCCGCGGTAAGTGGCCCTGTGCAGCGCAGGAGGGCGGGAGCCGTGTGGACCCGGACGGCGCTCGGAGTCGGGGCCTGGCGGAGCGGCGCCATGGCCGCAGCCCAATTCCTGCGAGTGGCGTTACCGCGCCGAGAAAATGGCGTCGTGGCCCGCGGGGCCCTTTCCGGCCCCGGTCAGAGGGGTCGCGGAAGAGCGCGTGCGGCCGGGCGGCCGGTCTGCGTCTGGTGGAGTTGTGTGGTCCAGGCTGGCCCGGGTCTGGGCGGCTGTGGAGCCCTTGAGTGCGAGTCGTAGTTGCGGCCCCGGCCGGCCCGCCCGCCGGCCCGGCCGTGGCCTCCGGTCCTCGGCACTCTAGGTAGAGCCCTCGTGGTAGGACGTGACTGGGCCTGGGCGCGGGTGTGCGAGCAGGTATCTCGGGGGGCGGGAGGTGCCCCATTCTGGAGCGTGACTTGGGGCCTGGCCCCCCCCCCCCCCCCGACTCTCTTACCAATATTGGTGTCCAGGTGCCTGTTAAGGTAGATTGGTCTCAAGCTACTCTTGAGTAAGAGGCCCTGATTCTGATTCGCAATGCTATGTATGTTTAATTTTCCACACAAGGAGTCTCCTTGTTATATTTGATTATCTGGAGGTTCTGTCAGGTAAACTCAGCCGTGCACAAATGAGAATCGGCACACAAAAAAGGTTGTGCAATTGATTGCCCCTGCCAACACCCATGACCAGCACTTTCCTCCTGGCACTCAGGGCATGTGTAGCATCACAATGGCTTGCTGAGAACATGTGCTAGGGGACTGAGGGAGGCCCAGGTAGGTCTTGAAGGTGAGACGCAGTGTCTTCCGTGCACAGTAAAGCTCTCTGAACCTCTGGTAGGTAAGCATGCCTTAATAGGCTAAATAAAGAGTCTTAATTCCCAGCCAGTGCTGAGCAGCTCAACGAACGATTTCTCAGTGTATGGGTGCCGTGCCAGGCTTTACACATCTGTCAGCAGGACATGTTTTACCATGTTATACACCTGTACTATGATGCTAGGTACCTTCTGTTTGGCCCTGGAAGAGAAAAGATTCAATATGTAAACCAGCCTGTTTCACGTTCCTCTTAGATCCCTGCAGTGTCCCATGCCTTTGGGTCTGTTTTTCTCATGCTCAAGTCCCAACTAAGAAATAGTAGCAAAACGGAGTCTCTTTTGAAACTTAATTGGATGACTGGGTCCTATATAGATAAAAGCCCATTCATTTCTATGATTGTGTCAATTGATGTGTGTTGATTGAGTTACAAAGGTTATATGATTAACAGACTGCAATAGTGTGCTCTTAGGAAAGAGGAGGTCAAAGCCCAAAGTCCGAGTTGTGCTTATTTGTTGTTCTGAGTGTCAGACTCACATGTGAGAGACCACGTTGACCCCCAGGCTTTAGTCTATTTTCTGAGCGATCATTTTGAGAAGTTGATAAGGGAAGGTGAGTAGGCAGTTGTACATACTCTTAAAGAATTATTCTGGAGGCTGGAGAAATGGCTCAGCTGTTACGAGCTCCTGTTTGTCTTGTAGAGAATCAGAGCTTGGTTCCCAGGCATCTGTGTCATCTGGAGGGTTCACAACCACTTGTGACTCTGGTGCCAGGAAATCCTATGCCCTCCTGTGGCCTCTTCGGGCACCTACACATAGGTGGCAGACAGAGTTTATCCGTAGGTGTTGATTATCTTCTGTGGTGTTTGTAGGACATAATACTTTTTTTGTGTGTCAAACGTGTAAATGCTAGGGTTATGTTTTTCATGTGCTCATAGATGAAAAGGTAAGTCAGGTTTTCCAAGATGAAGGTGGCTTTTTTGTGCTTGGGTCAAGAGGTAATACTTCAGAATGGGCTGAAGAGATGGCTCAGGTATTAAGAGCATGTATTGCTCTTCCAGAGGATCTGAGTTCAGTTCCCCGGACCCATGCCAGGCAGCTCACAGCCTCTGGCCTCGACAGGCACCTGCACTTGTGCACATACAAGTACACAAAAATAAAAATAATAAAAATAAATTTAAAAATTGTTTATGCATACGGGTGTTTTGCCTGAATGTATGTATGCCACAGGTGTGCTTGGTGCCCTCAGATGTCAGAAGAGGGTAGCCGATCCCCCTGGAACTGGAGTTACAGGTGGTTATGTGTTGTTATGTGGGTGCTAGTTATCAAACCCTGGTTCTCTGGAATAGCATTCAGTGTTGTTAACCTCTCAATCATCTCTCTAGCCTCATACATTTTTTAAGGATAATATTTATATAGAAAAATCTTAAAACAGTACAGAAAAGCAAAGTGGGAACACTGTAAGTAGCCCATGTTATAGCTGTTAGTGTGTTCAGAAGTGAAGATATATGTGGCACTGTGTAGCTGTTTGTCAGTGCTTTTATCCAGTATTGTGGAACCCTCTCCGTGGCACTTTCCATGTCTTGAAATCTCAAACTAGTTAGCTTCTGTGATGATGTGGCTGTGTGTACTAATTAAGTCTGCTAAATCAAAGAGAGGCAGTCTCCCCTGGCATGAGATCATGCTTGACAACATCTGCTTTCATGCTCTTGGTTAAATATGTCCCTAAACCCTCCAGGAAATGTGGACACTTGTTATTTTGGTAGGTGACATTGACCCATCTGTTGCACATTGACCCATCTGTTGCACATTTGCCAAGTGGGGTGCCTATTTGATGTTTGACCTAGTAAGGGCTTCAGAAAGGATGTTTTAGGAAACTTGAGGTCCCTACTTCAGAAAGGAGGTAACAGCCCAGTGCACAGCCCACAATTTGCAGCCAGGACTGAAGGCTTGAAGATTCCTTTTCACACTTCCTGAGCCTCTACCCCATCCCTGCTCAGTTAACCCTAACCACCAAATGTCTTAAAATGGAACTCTTGTTCTGACTGTTGAGGATAGAAAATACTTGTTATTGGGACTGGAGTAGGAATTGGAGTCTATATCCAGAGAGCTATCCCTGAGAAGCCTGATAGCCAGGGACCATCATGGTTTGTTAGATAATAACAAAAGAATCATGTCTTTTGGACTGACTTAGCCTTGTTGTTACCTGTTTTCACTTGTGTTAATGTTAAGGGCTGAGTGTTGCTGCTCTTAACTGGCTTGAGGATGGAGTTCAGCCGTGCACCGATCTGCAGAAGACAATACAGGAAACCCTGCTAGAACTCCTTTATCGGCACCATATTTCATTAACACCCCCCCCCCTCGCCCCAGTAAAACCAAAGGAAAAAAACATGCGTTGTCCCCTGCTAATCTCAGAGACGGAAAGGAAGATTCCACTGAAGTACAGCTCCTGGATTGAGTTTCCCAAGCCTCATAGCCTCCTCAGAGTAATAACTGACCCTCGAGGAGGGAAGGAGATGGGATCAGATTAGGTCCAATTACTGCCCAAGTGAACCCTGACTGGACAGAAAGGCTGCTCTATACAGGTAGACAGCAAGTGTGGGAGTTCTGTACTCTGTTCCCACACTTCAGGGTTGTTATACTCAGAAATTCCTGGTAGCACTGAAGAGCTTTTGATTTATTTGGGCTTTGTTGATTCTGATTGTTTGATTTTACAACTGACCCATTTAAACCTTTTATTCAGTTTAAAGCAAACTCATCTGCTCTTATGTTAACAAAATTTTTTAAATTTAATTTAATTTTTATTTTTGGTTTTTCAAGACAGGGTTTCTCTATAGCTTTGGAGGCTGTACTGGAACTTGCTCTGTAAACCAGGCTGGTCTTGAACTCACAGGGATCCACCTGCTTCTGCCTCCCAAGCCCTGGGATCAAAGGCCTGTGCCATCCCCACCACCCTGCATGTTAAATATTTTGTGGGAACTAATTTCTAAGTCTAAGACCACTTCATGAGAAAAGTAATGTTTATGCTTTTTGTAAATCTGTTTCTATTTCAAGTGGCACACCACTATCACGTGGCTTCTGAACAAGTATGAACATAATTCCCAGTGACAATAGAGGGCATATGATATCTCAGTGCTGAGCATATAGCTTTGATCTGGGGATCAGCCATCCACTGAAACCATAACTGTTCATAACAATTAAAAGTGCTCGTTTGTTTTTTTTTGCAACAGGGTCTCACTATGGCTCTGGCTGTCCCATTAATGACTATGTAGACCAGGCTAACCTGGTCAAGCCTTTTTTCTCCTTCCTTCCTTCCTTCCTTCCTTCCTTCCTTCCTTCCTTCCTTCCTTCCTTCCTTCCTTCCTTCCTTTCCTTCCTTTCCCCAAGACAGGGTTTCTCTGTGGCTTTGGAGGCTGTCCTGGAACTAGCTCTTGTAGACCAGGCTGGAATTAAAGGAGTGCACCATCACTGCCGGGCTCTGTCTGTGCCTCCTTAAGAGTACTCTTACTGCCAGGTGGGGCAGCACGAGCCCTTAATCCCGGCACACGGGAGGCAGAGGCAGGCAGATCTCTGAGTTCAAGGCCGGCCTGGTCTACAAAGTGAGTACCAAGACAGCCAGGGCTATACAGAGAAACCCTGTCTCGAAAAGAGTGCTCTTTATTATTGAAATGAGTTGAAAGAATAGTTGACTCTAACCACCTAGAAAAACCTTATACTCTTACTATCTTTGAACTATTTTTATTGGCTTTACCAGTTTCTTGCCTTTGGGGGAGGGTATGGAACAATTTCCTTGTGATATTGAAGGTGTTTTCATTCAGGTCATGCTCCTCCAAGAGGAGTGAGTTAGAAAATGCCATTGCCATGACTCTTAGGACAGTGCCACATTCAGCTGAAAGTGTCTGCAAGGGAGAGGCACCAGGATTGTTTGACCAGTCTTTTGCATTTACCATGGGATGTAATATGCTTTCATTGTAGACAGTGGGAAATAGGATGGTAAAGCTAACTTTCATGTAGGGCTGTGGAAGTCCATGTCCTTTGCTTGTAGGAGTGGCCTGGGAATACAGTGTGCATACTAGGTTTCCTGATAAGCACAAGAAATGACACATGCAAGAGTAATCTGGTGGTGAGGTGACTTGAAGAGCAACAGTTACCTATACAGAGCCCTCCCTAT